GCATGTAAGCTTCAAAAAAAAAAAAAGTAAGACATTACCAAGATCAGACCTCCTTGGATTTAAAATTCTACATTATAGAGTAGCAAACCTGCAAGAGCTGTGCATACTCATACAATCTGAAGTGTATTTCCACTTTTGCAGTCACATTTGAGAAAACCCCTCCTGATCACCCTCCCGTGTTCACTGATCTCCCCTCTGGTGAATGAACCCAGAAGTGATGAGGCTTTCATCACCTCCGGCTTCTGAGCCCATCCTTGTACAAAAAAAGTTAGAGACCATTCACACCAGGGCAGCTCTCAAAAGGGAGGTTTTGGGAGTTTTTAATTGCGCTTCAGCGCTAAAACGCAAACAAAAACGCCCAAAACCGCACTGATCAGCGCAGATCCATTGAATGCTGTATGGAAACCGCAAAAAAGGGTCAGGGAGCAGTTCGGGCGGTTGTTTCGGATCGTGCTGAGCTGCACGGTTGCATGAACCGTCCCCATAGCAATGTATGGGATCGTTTATGTCAACGGATCCACGCGGCTGAACCCTTAAAGTAACACTAAACTCAGCAGTTAAATCTTAATGTATTCAAGTACCCTAACTATTAACAAAAATATCTTATTTGTATAATCTGTCAGCTGTAGATCCTCAAATAATTTCTGAATTAGATGCTGACACTGTCCTTTCTTCCGGAGGGTGGCTACTATTGTTCTGCATGGTCCCTGTGTGTTGTACAGTAGCCGCCACTCTAAGCTCCTGTGATACACTACAATCTCACATGGAGTTTACTAATTTGTATTGAAATTACAGTCTATCACAGGAGTGAGCTTGGAGTGGTGGCTACTTTACAATACACACAGGGACCATGGGGAACAAAAGTAGGAACCCTCCAAAAGGAAGGGCACTATCAGCACCATTCAGAGATGATTTGAGGATCTACAGCCGAGTAATACACAAATAAGCTACATTTTTGATAATAGTTAAGGTACATGAATGTATTTTAAGATTTAACTCCTGAGTTTAGTATCACTTTATATAAAAAAAAATGTAAAGCTCCCCCCTCCATACACACACATATGACCGTTAACACAGGAGTTGGGTGCACCTTTGTATCAGAAATACGATAGCACCACACATTGGGTATCGCCAAGCTGGAGTGAGAGCAAAAATTCTAAGGACAAAGTGCTTCACCATTTCATGGGCACACGCGATTTTGAGGCTTGACATGTTTGGTATCCATTTACTTGGCACAATCTTATAGAGTTCATAGAAATTTTATTTTTTTCCCTGAAAAGTGCAAGTTACATGTAAGCAGCAATTGTTTTAAGTTATGCTATGTGAATAAGAACATGTAACAAATATATAATAGGTGTTATCCCACTTTGACTGCAGTAGTGAAAATACGCTTTACATACCAAACACATTTAAATAAGTCTGGACATTTCCATTGTACAATAGGATGCAGTTCCCCAAAAAGCCATTTGCAATCAAAGCATGCCAAACACGAAGCATTGCATATTATACACTATCTGCCAGAGAATTCTGTGTTGTTGTCCACATGGGAGTTTTGGGTGTTACCACCTACGTTTGCCCTTGAGTTCCTCCTGCCGCATTCTCCGCTAAAGAAAAGCAAACTTTCTTTGTTAAGTTTATAAGTGTGTAAATTATTGTTTTGTATCATTTACTCTATGTGTAATCTCAGCATTGCTAATAAACCTCTAAAGCCCAATTCCAGGCAGCAGTAAAAAATACCCTTCTAGTGGTGCCCTTCCACATCCCCCCCCCCCCCCCCCCGCACTGCAAGGGTTAAAGAAGAACTCCGGGTAAATTTTTTATTAACCCTTACACTGGGGCTACCCCCGCACTGCTAACGGTTAACTGCTCATTTTTGTCTAGGGAGGAAAACAAAGATATACTCGCCCAATCATCGTAGTCGGCCAGCTGTGACAGCGCTCCCTCCTGTCTATCTCCTACTACACTTTAGCGATGGTATGTCCCTCAGCGCCCTCACGTTCTATATACTGTGTATTGGACGTAATTATTTATGGGACCTTAGACCGATGCAGTGGAGGGGGGGAGAGAGGCTCCAGGGACAACTACAGGACCGGTTCCCCATAGCCGCCTCTTCAACGTTCCTCCTGTGGCAGACTGTCTGGCTTCATCACATACAATGCAGGACCAGCACTCCTGCATTGCCCGTGAGGACAGCGAGGGTCCGTCCACATTTGGGATCTCAGAGAGTGGAGAAGAGAGCCGGTTGCCTAGGGAACAAGGAATTAGGTATATAGTACTGGTTTTTCTAATCCCCCTAGACAAAGTGAGTATGTAACACTTGTAGGGCATGGGGTTGGGGGTGTCAATGCAAGGAAATTCTTTTGCCAGAGTGCTACAGTTCGGTGGCTAACAATACAGCATAGCAAAGCCTGCCTTGTGGCTCAGTTTGTCTTAATCTACACACAGGATGGATGAGTCATTAAAGCTGAAGTCTGGGCACAAACATTTTCATTTAAATATGCCCGCAGTTCCAATGCATTCCAGACAAGACAAAATGAGACATGCAGTATTTTTCTGGTCTGATCTGGTCTGGAAGGGAGTGCACTGGTGAGGTCAGAAATAGCATAGGGATACATTAGGATGCATGTTGGGTCTGGAAACAATCTGGTCTGGTCTGGTCTGGAGATGATCTGGACTCGATGGACTTGTGTCTTTTTTCAACGTGACTAACTGTGTAACTATGGATGTGGTGAATGGGCCCTCCGGAAATCTATAATTCTATAAAGGAAGAGGGTTAAGTAATCTTCAGGCCTAAAATGTGCATTTCAACATTGAAAAGGTTAAAGCATAAACCAGCGTTTGGCAACTACGCCACTCCAGCTGTGCTTTAACTACAAAACCCAACATGCCTCTGCCTCTGGGAGTCATGCCTGTCAGTCCTGCAATGCCTCATGGAACTTGTAGTTCAACAGCAGCTGGAGAGCCGGAGTTTCACTCCTTGCTATAGCCAAACATAATTCTTTAGTATTGGATGAAACAGGGAAGGTTTAAAGCACCTTTCAGGTTTTTTTCTGTCCCCTCTATATAGATTCCCCCCTGTATGTCCTGGTGGATATTGTCATAGGGAAAGAAAGTGACAGTAAATTCAAATATAGCACAGCTGTCACCAAACCAAGAGGTGAGGGGTAAACTTCCAATGGGAGCACTGGTGGCAACTGCCTAGCCCCATTCACACTTCAGTGTCAGCGTTTGCAGACAATATTGAACCTTTATTCAGGCCTGAGCGCTTTTGTTTTAGCCAAAGGAAAGCGAGTTACTAGGATAACCAGATGGTTAAGGTCATGCATTATTCAGGTGTTTTCTGGGGCCAAAAATATGTGATTCTGCCTAAAAAGAAGCTCATATATGCGCACACCATCTCCAGATCAGTTTTGGATGCGTTTCCACAAATGTGTTTATGTGCATTTTTGACGCATTTTGGGCTTTGCTTTAAGCATGTGCCAGTGCGTTTACATTTATTATTTATTACAGCTATTTATATAGCGCTGGCAATTTACGCAGCACTTTATATACTGCACATTCACATTAGTCCCTGGTCTCAAGGAGCTTACGATCTAAGGTCTTTATATCTCATGCAAACATGAACCGGGGACCCTCAGTGCTGCAAGGCAGAGGTGCTAAGCACTACCCCACTGTGCTGCCCATGTTTATATATGTTTTTGTGCATTCCGGTGTGAAAAATGCATGCTTCCTTTTAAAAGCTCTGGAAGATGGTGTGAACAAGCCCTCAAGCAGCATGTGAGCTCAGGTGTGAAGAGGCACACTAAGTGTTGCCAAATCATGCAACACAATGTTCAGGTGTAAATGGGGGATAAAAAGGGGAACAGACAGGAGATGTGAACCTTGCTTACTGTGTTAAAAAAAAAAAAAACGTTTTGGCTATACATACAAAGGCTGCGAAAAAACAGAGTGGTGACGGGCACGCACGCACGCTCACACACACTATACGTCATCATTCACTCCTCTGCGGAAGGCACCACCATTCATTTGAATGTGCCACCTACTGCAGCTAAATCACACTGAAGGAAGTGCGTGCAGCTTTATTTTAAAATCACATCAAATGGTAATGGGTTACCATGCGATGTGGTGCAATAGCTAGGTGCGTTGGGGTGCCATTAACAAATAATGCCACTGCAACGGACTTAACATTCCTGCATCGCATAGAGTTGAATAGGGGCTTAGTCTCCATTTACACTTGTGCATTTTTGCATTGGCCAATGCAAAAGTGAAATAAAGTATTTTGTTGTTAGGGGGTGGAGGCTTGTTGTCACGTGCTAAAACACATGAAAATGCAAGTTCCTGAATTTTTTATGGGCTTCTATTAAAATCTAAGGGGCGCTGTATATCACCAGGAAAAGCCCATGCAAACGCAGTGCGTCATTGTTGTACAGGTGTGAACGGGCACCATAAAGAATTCATAGGATTTACATTAAAGGGCATTGTAGCGCTACGGCAGACGCACAAAAAAATCACACTGGTGTGAATTCATTAAATTCAGAACTAGAGTAATAAGATGTCATCAGTTGTATGATTTTACCAGTTGACATGTTTACAAATACAGTGTTCTGTACAGAAGAATAAAGTCATAACACATCTGCCTTCTCAGCAATCCTTGTTTACATTACTTGTGATAAACAGAACACACACAGATGACTGACTGATCACTTCCTAGTCCCCAGCTACCTGTCCTAGTTGGATTTCTCATTTTCCAGCGCCTTCTGCCTGACAGAACAATTCCCTAACTGTATGTGCACAAAGTGACAGTCTTCCTGCTCCGTGCCGTCAGCCTATGTCAGCGCCATAGCGGAGAGACAAACAGGTGCAGGAACATTTGGAAGGATTACAAAACAAGCAGGTGGCCCCGCTTCCACACAACACCTTGTGCCTGATCTGTTTCACTGGCTTTCTCCCGAGCTGCCAGCAAGCAGCAATGAGATCTCCAGTGCATGTCAGTTACTTACAGTACAGCTTCCCAGCAATATGTCTACTGTGCCTTTTTTTTTTCAGTCCCTGTATGAGCTGAGAGGACTAGGCTGTGTCTGTGAACTCCCACAATCCACCGCGGCCGGGAGCGTCACATCCCATCCTCTACTGTACACAGAGGCTGTCAGTGAAGACAGAGCAATGGAAATGTCTCATTGCAGTCAGCTCTCCGGCTTCCCCTTACTACTGTGCTCATGACAATGTAACGCTCATCTCTATTGGCCGTGCTCTAGTCTTCCTCATTGGTAAAATATAAAGTTTACTTCCATTGGCCAGCGATATGTCCCTGCCTCGTATCCCTGGCCGTTTGATACTGTACACTGCATTCCTGTCCTTTGCATCCAACAAGCAGGAGCACTGAACAGCTTGGATCAAAGCCTGGGAAGACTAGAGGAAGGTGTGGTGACCACACAGATATCCATATGATCATTCATTGCCACTTAAATTATCGAATTGAGTAAAATCAGCTTTTAATATCAATGCAGGGAACTTGGATTGGATGCAATGGAATGTTATCTATTGCTTTGAATCGATTAATCAAATATCTGTATTTGTCAGACAACCAATCTCATACTTCAGGGCACCGCTGCACAGTGCAGAGACCTGAATGGAGTGTACTGTACAATCCAAGTCAAGTCAAAGTGACATTAAACCCTCAGATTTTTTAACATAAACCAATACTGTAATGTGTGCCCAACTGTAATCCATGGTTGTTTCCCTTCTCTTTGCTGCTCTTCCTTTTAAATCCTCATGTCTTCTCGTGCTTGGGGAGAACTTCCCTTTTCAGCTCAGGGCCTCTTCCTGTAGTGCTGGCTCAGGTAGCAAGCCCATACAAACGTATACACAGACACCGTGTATCCATTCCTGAGACAAGGCAGTCTGCTGCAAAACAGAATTTCTGCAGAGCATGAGAATAGATACAGATTTAAAAGTAAGAGCAGGCTCCAGAAGGGAAACAACCATGGATTAGAGTAAGGCACACATTAAAGTATTGTTTTATGTTAAAAAATCTGAGGGTTTAATGTCACTTTAAACTCAGGAGTTAAACCTTAAAAATACATTCAAGTTTATTAACAAAAATGTATCTTATTATTTGTGTATCACTCGGCTGTAGATCCTCAAATCATCTCTAAAATGGTGCTGACACCGTCCTTCCTTCTGGAGCTCCAAGCTCACTCCTGTAAAGGACTACAAACTCACGTTTAGTTTTCTAATTTATCTGAAAGGTGAGCCATGATTGGGCAAAGTCATCATGACCTCACCCAATCATGGCTCTTAAGGTGCCCATACACTGCACTGCACCTGTATAAAAGGGCGTGGCCACCGGGTATCCACCAGTATGATCGGGCATTCGTATTTCCGCATCTAGGGACGCCATACCATATCCTCCTGGTCTAGGATGTGTGTGGGCATGTAGGAGTTGCCCTGACGCCTTAGGAAATTATGAAGGGTGCAGCAGCAGTAAACCAATATATCAATTTTGGGTAGACCCATGTTGATAGGAGTGTGGAGAATGCGGAATCGGTTCACTGTTATCCCAAACGCATTCTCCACCACTCTACGTGCCCGTGATAACCGATAGTTATATATGCGCTGCTGTGCTGTCAGACCGCGCATGGGGAAGGGATCGAAATCGTACGATTATTAGTACGGTCGTACGATTATCGGATCGACCCCTATCGAGCCAAGTTGGATGTGTCGTACGATGATCGTACGATATTCCGATCGTCGCTAGGTTTCAATCGTACGATAATCGTGCAGTGTATGGGCACCTTTACACAGTACTGGGCCCTGATTGGGCAAAGTCTTGCACCTGATCTGTGGTCAGGTGCAAAGCTTTAGCCAATCAGGGCTTCACAAGGCGCAGCGCCTTGTTGGGCGCTCGGCGGGCGAACTGATAGTTTGTGTGTTCACTGACACGAACTGCTGATGTTCGAGTCAAACTCACATTTGACTAAAACATTGAGCCCATTACTAATGGCCAACTGCTCCACATGCTGTCAGCTCCATTTCCCCCCTTGACCATCACATCTACCTTTTGATTTCCAACACTTTTGATTAACTCCTGGGGATCCTTTCCAATCATCTGCAGCGTCAGGACACCTATAACCGCAACAGTATTCCAGTGAAGGCAAGATTCCTCATCACTTTACGGTAAGTAGCTTTTCCTATTAGTCCATGACCTTGAGGGCACTTTGTCCAAAGTGGAGATGATAGAATTGGGAGCAGTTGACCATGGCAACCAATCAGCTTTTCATTTCCATTAGTAACTGCTCCGTATTCTGGGAGCTAAACTATGGAGATATTGCCCTGTAAAGTTCCCTTTCTCCCATATGTTGTTCATTATTTCTCCACCGTAATCTCCGCCCCTCCAACTCCCTCTCCCCCTTCCCCATCATTCCCCCACCTCCTACAAATAGACACACAGAGACAGTGATGTAGGAAACAGTACAAATGCAACTGGAATATTTATTAAATTTTTTTAGAAAAGGACCATAAATATAAATTATCAGAATGAAAACAAAAAGATCAACAAACTATAGATGAACAAACTAGAACAACTAACGGACAGCTTTCCCTCTGACCCTTACCAAAAAGTGTGCTCCGGCCACACTTTGGTGAAGAGTCTGATAAAAGTGCCAGAATCACAATATCATAAATCCTAATATTGAGGGGGTGTGAAGCTTGACTCATGCAGCATCTCTTCATTCCCATGGTTGAGGACCCAGTGGAAATATTAACGGGGGAAGGTGTATGTGACTGGCTGTGAGAGTGTTGTGGGCAGGGGCGTATCTGCCGCAAAGGCAAACAAGGTGTTTGCCTTGGACGGCACTTTCCAGGGGGGCAGCAAAAATGCACCCCCAAAACAGTCAGGCAAGCTGGGCTGCACAGAATTCGGCAGTCCCGGCTGCCTAATATTGCGGAACAGTCAGTTTTGAAGTGACAGGGGACCTTAACGCTGCTGTGCACAGACAGTATTAGGAGGCCTGTCACATTCAAGCATGCATCGCACGCCGAACATCTCATGTCATCATGAGATGTTCGGCGGCTGCAATGCATGCTTAAATGTGACAGGGCTCCTAATGCTGCCTGCACACAGCAGCATTAGGGACTCCTGTCACCTCCCCGCAGATCACTCTTCCTGCTGCAGACTCACAGACTGTCAGCGGTTTCTCCCTACAGGCTGTAATCGGCTGCAGCGATCTGTGTCAGAGGGGACAGATAGACGATTACAGCCTATAAGAAGAAATCGCTGACAGTCTGTGAGTTTCCGTCCCCTGAGCCTTCTACTCACCCCTCCGTGCTGTCAGGCGCGATCGTCGCCATTCCAGCAGCTGGCAGCAATAGCCAGCCTGTTATTGGCTCTTTTAAATTGCAGTAGCCAATAACAGGCTGACTATTGCACCTGCCCACTGCCTGCTGTCAATCAGCAGAAGAGGACCTGATGGAGAACTTTCTCCTTCAGTTCCCTCCTCTGCTGATTAACAACAGGCAGTGGGCGGGTGCAATAGCCAGCCTGTTATTGGCTATTGCAATTTGAAATATACAATAGCAAGCTGGCTATTGCTCCCAGCAATAAAGTAAAAAGAAAAAAATAAAGTTAAATAAACGAAAATTAAAAATACAGCAAAAATGTAAAAAAGTTAAAAAAATTAAGTTAAATAAACTAAAATGAAAAATACAAAAAAATAAGAAAAGTTAAATAAACTAAAATGAAAAATACAAAAATAAAAAAGTTTAAAAAATATAGTTAAGAAAACTAATTTTTTTTTTAAAGTTTAAAAAAGTTAAATAAATAAAAAGTAAAAATGCAAAGAAATAAAAAAATAAAGTTAAATAAACTATATTGAAAAATACAGAAAATTAAAAAAAGTTTAAAAAATAAAAACACAGCCTCCTGAGACCCACAGCCTCCTAAAACCCCACACAGCCATCACTTTTCCATTATAGTTGTGAGTGGGGCCTCGTGTTTACGTTTCACCTAAGGCCACGGAAAGTCTAGAACCACCTCAGGGTAAGTGGATCACACTGCTGTTAAAGGGACCCTGCAGAGCCCAGCATAAATTCTGCACAGCCCACCTGAAAGTCTCAGATGGGCTCTGCAGGATCTGTGGTGGGGTCTATGGTGGGCTCTGCAGGGTCTCAGGGGGCTCTGCAGGATCTATGGTGGGCTCTGCAGGGTCTATGGTGGGCTCTGCAGGGTCTATGGTGGGCTCTGCATGATCTATGGTGGGGTCTATGGTGGGCTCCGCAGGGTCTCAGTGGGGCTTTGCAGGATCTGTGGTGGGCTCTGCAGGGTCTATGGTGCAGAGCCCACCAGAGATCCTACACAGCCCCGAGACCTGCAGTGCCCACCAGAGATCCTTCACAGCCCACCTGAGACCCAGCAGAGCCCACCACAGAGCC